ACAGCACTGGCGGGTCTCCGGCGCTCTCTTGTCTGTTAATGGGCTTTGACTCAATTTGGGTGTAGAGGGCATTGCTCATTTAGAAAATATCAAAAGAAATAAGGCTTTCTGATTACGGGAGATAATGGGAAGACCTCTTACCCGACATGGCTCACCCCCGGCCCTTGGGGGGGGGAATAGGTTGAAAGGGTTTCAAATGGAGATATTTAAAACAGGCTTTTAAACTCTTACTACAATTTTATTTTATGACAATGGCCCATTGTATATGCAAGTTGTTTAATCTTCAGAAATGGTCTCCTGGCCATTACAGCAGCCTATTGGATGGTTTTTTAAATTGTCTGAAATTCGGAGCACGGGCCTTGGGCCAGAGTCTAGAATGGATGGATACCTCTGGAGGGATCGCTAAACAATATTTGTTCCATATTAGGATGAAATTATACTCTTAATCTTTTCTGGGATGGAATGCAATGGGTTTGTGGTATTTACCCCAGATTACCTCAGTTTTGATGAGACAATAGATAGAGATATACAGTGGTTGATACGTAACGTTACCTCACAGAAACAAGTGGTATTACTGATGACATTTTTGAATTTTGAGTTGGTGTAAAAACCCAATTCTTCCCTAAAGACCTTTAGAGTTACACTCATTTACAAAAAAAAGTTCAAGATTTTCCTGTATTTTGCATGCCTCCTCTGAAAGCCTTGTGGGGCTCTCAACAGCTACTGGATTTGGTGTCCCTAGTCATGCATGCTCCTTGGTCTGTTGCTGTGGCATCCTATTTTATTGTTCAGGATTTCCCTCCTAAGTAATCAAACTGACATGAGCAGACTGCCTGCAAATTTGCTTTCCTTGATGATCATAGCTGGCTTTGAATGGGGGACAACAGAAGAAGAGTGTTGTAAACCACCACTGACTTGGGCCATCAGCATGTGATCTTACATTTGCATCTGCTTGCTTTCCCATTCTCTTTTAGTGGATGCTCCTTTGTCATGCTAGAATGAGGATAAAATGGAGAGTAGGAGTCAGTTTAATAGACAAAGTTTCTGTGAGACAAATAGCTAGGAAATGACTAGGACATTTTCAATGTAGTATTTTCCATGTTCCTGATGTGTTAGTGTTACCTTGCAGAAAGAGGTGTGATTTGTCCAGGTAATCCCCATCTTCTGTCAAACCCAGGTTAGGGTTACAAAATCAAATACTACGTGAATGTAAAGTGTATACAGACATGTGCCTGCAAGTTCATAATAATTTTATCCTCATTTATATGTATACAGATCCATGGAAAACAGAACATAATCCTGTCCGAATATATTGATAATGATGCATATAAAACATTCAGAACCACAGAGCAAAAGCGTATCGATGACTTGAAGCTGCGATTATTTAGGAGTATATAGCGTTATTAAAAGGTACATAGTTGGAGAAAAAATCAGCCATGCTTGTCTTTCCTTGATTGGTGCTAAGATAAGGTTTATACAGATAATTATCTTGTCTAAATAATGGCTAGTTTTAGTGTCACATTTTATTTTTCCAGCAGATGAGGATTTATTAGGTGATGGAAATTCTATTAAGAGGAAGTGAGTCCAATTTGGCTTTGCAAAATACTGCATGGGCCAAGTCCACGCTTACAAGCATCATTTGTTAAAGCACTCTGTAGCGTTGTTGTATAAGGGATGGTAAGTTCTGAAGTTTGCAAGCTTCCTTCTTTACATTTATGTATTAATTTTGCTCCTCAGATCTTTATAATTACTTTGGGGTAGGCTAAGAGAGCTCAAGAATAATAATGTTGAAAGATTTCGTGTGTGCTTTTAGTGTTTTAGTTTCTTCATAACAAAAGACAGATACAATATAGATGTGAGCAGGACGTGAATGCTGTGGGGCATGTGTGTGATACTCCTTTCCTTTTGTCAGTGATGAAACTGGCATGGCAGTGACCTCTGAGGCTAGAGCTCTGCATTCCAGAAATGTTGCTCAGCTTAGCACAGGCCAGTGTTGGAAACCCATTTGTTCACACCATGGTAGTGTGCATGCACCAAACACTCATATGGCTCTGGGATGCTCTTCAGACAAATTGAGCTGCTGCAGTAGATTTGCCTGATGAGTGATTGGATATTTGCTTTCATCAGCTCCTGATCAATAGCAACTGTATTTAATCATTCACAATATTAGAACCCTTCAGTGTTTGTGCAATACTACTGCTATTCGTTTTTATCCATGACTTTTTTACTTAATCCAATAAAATAAGATTAGTAAATTCTACTGATTTAAAAGCAAATTTCTATGGGGGCGGAGCCTTAGTTGCAATCCTGTGAAGCTGAAGTTGCAGCATGCTTTAGCCCAGGTTAAATGCTGCAGGTCTGACTGCTCCCTTTGCTAATGATGCTGTCTGGCAACTGCGGGCTTTGGAAGTGTATGGAATTCAAGCTGTATCGTTTGTACTGTGTGAACATGATGCCATCTGACAGAATCTCACCCTCCCTCAAGGCTAGATGTCTCAGACTGCTTTATGTGATGGAAGAGCAGAGCATGACTGGGGCCTGGACAGAGACTGGCATCATTTTATAAATTGTGATTAGTCCTTTGAGTCTTTTTGTAACTGGCATTGCAGTATGGCCTTAGTATCATTCTACATAGGTGAATGAATTGACAGTCAGAACTCTGTTTTCCTTAGGTTATTTATAAAAACATTCAACCAGTTTTATGCTAATTCTGGAAACAGCAGACTCCTGTTTCAGTAGTAGTACTGGTTAATGAAGATTTGCTCCTGAATTCCAAAGACAGTGCTGCTTGTAATTATTTAAAATTGGTAAGGAAGTAAGACACTGCTACCTTATTTCTTTTTGTGAAATCTTGAAGCTTAGGTACTGATATTGTCTTATTCATTCCCCTTCAGTTGATGTTTTGGTAGGTGTTGTCGACTGCACTCAAATTTACCAGAGGGTAGAGAGATCAAAAAAGGGGGTATAAAGGAGTAAACCAGAGCCATTTTGTACAGATATATGGGGGAATAAGATACGTGGAAATCTAGACTTTATTCATTCTACTGTTCACAGAACAATTTGGGGACATTTTCCTTGTTTTGAAGGCACAAAATTTGGCTTGCTAGCCTGGCAACAAAAGCATTCATTTAAAAACTTGGCAGAATGGAGACTATTTGTTTTGGCATTTTTATCTTGCATGTGAACATGCTGCAGTTTTTTATGCCAAAACCACATCCATTCTGGGTACCTATTTACTGTGGACGTAAAAATTTCTAAGTATGACTGAGACTATTTACTGTCGTCGAGATTTGCGTTTTTCCAAAAGGTTCCAAGCTTATTTTTGTTTTTATTATGTAAAATCCCAGACAATTAGGTTTCCTCCTCCTGGCTAAGTAAAACCAATGCAGTGGCTGTCAAGGACTATGACCAATGGCAGAGTGTGCTCTGCCAGTCTGAACAAAAACTGAACAGAAGCAGTTTGGCTTTATGTAAAAGCAACTTGATTTCCTGGCGTAAATTCTGATGTCAAGTGTCATGTCTGCTGATAATTCTCCCTGCAGACTCCTTTTTTCTTCTGGTTTTTGCCTTTCAGTCCTAAAATGCTTTGTAAAGGTCACATTAAGACACAACTTTGGAGGAAGCACTGTTGTTATTAGTGTTATTATGAATAGGTGACTTCAAGGCTCCAATGTGGCCCTTCTACAACATTATATTTACTTAAACTCTGCCAAAGAAATCACAAACCCATCAACATCTTTCATCAATTAATTTGCTGTTGCAGGACAGACTCAAGGCAATGTGCATGCTTTTAATGCTACCAAGTAAAATCATTTTGGCTGCAGCTTTTTATTCACTGCAGAAAGCATTATATTAATATTCTGGTTAGGTACAGATTAGTTTTTTGATGGAATAATTTTGAGTAAGTAGAATTGTCAGGCACTGCAGCAAGATTACTGAGGTTCAAAGCACAGCACTTTGCATTTTGTTAATATCGTGTAATTCTTACTGGCATCTATGCAGTTGAAACAGCGTAATACATTTATGTCAGCATTTGTGTTAGGGAATTTAAAAGGGGCATTTCAGCAAGAAAACGTAGGGTTTTGTTTGTTTTTTTAAATGGAACTACGCTTTTTGAGCTGCATGATGTTTCTGGCCTGCTGCATAGTAAACAATTTTTCTGATTAATGTGTTGATAACTGTGAACATAAAAATCCTGGGAAAATGGTTTGATTGTGTATATTTTAGAACTGCAATTGAAGTATCACATTTATCTTAACATTAAATTTCATGAGCTGTATCTTGACCCAAAACAATTTTGTTTTTGCCTTAACAGGACAATGGTGCTTTTTTTTCTGAGCAGAACACTGCAACTAGCAGGACATTCATCCAGCCCACTGGGGAGACAACTCTGTTCAGCCAGCGCAAATAAGCCAGTGTTGACTCTATTCACCAAGGTAAAAGTTGTTTACAGAATAAAGCTTGCCAAGACTGTGTATTTATCAGCTTTGATATACATGAATCCCAGATGAAATGGCTTGGCCATGCTTTTTGTCCCCTTCAAATTTGTGTAGTATTGGGTATTTTAGTTTGAGGGTGCCTTACACTAGGCTTTACAGCACTGTCCTACTTTCATTGTAGGAAGCAAGTAGTTACAACCAACAAATGAAGATTTCAAGATAGTTTTGTCTCAGTGACACTATGATCCATTTACTGGTTGAAAATTGTTCTCTAACTACCAGTGTTTCATTCTGGAAATGGAGAACAAAGATATGTTGTTATACATAATGTGCCCAGGACAAGCATCAACAGCCAAAGTAGGTCCTTCAAAGCACTCATGCTTAATTTCAGCACTACCTGTGTGACTGAAAAAAGTTGGTAGCACATGAGGAGAAAGTAGATTGTGCTTTACCCTCTTTTTCTTTATTGGCTGTGTAATGCTAACAGGAGTAAAAAGCAGGCAAAGTTTTGTCTGTCATGAGTGGATAGGATTCACCTTCCATAAATTGTCATTAAGAGCCTGTGTTTTATACAGAGGTCTTATGTGCTTTTAGACAGTATGGCACACAGTGGGCTATGCTGCATTTATATGGTTGATGTAGCCTTCAAGGTGAGAATAATTAGAAATGCAAAGCGCTGAAAATGTTGACATCAGTATGGCAGTATTTGTTGAGATGGATGTGATTAAAATAATTTCCTCCTCCTGCACAATGTTTGTTCATTCCATCCCTAGCCATAAAGGAATGTTTAAACTGTGTAACATATGAATAGGTTAAAAAATAAAAAGTCACCATCTGTTTATTAATCAGAGCAATGCATGCTATAAGAAGAACTAAAGTTACATCTCTCTCTCTCACCCTGCCTGATTCATCATCACCTCTTTCATAATCCAAATGTGATAAGGTAGGGAATAACAAGCTTACCTTTGGGTTAATGATTGGAAAAAAGCTCTTTGTATGATTCCTGTCTTAAAATTTTTGACTAGTAAGACACTATGAAATCAAATTTTCTAATAGCAGAGTTCAAGTAGTCCTGTAAAGTGGCCTCTTGTTTCATGTCTGATATCACTGGCAATTGCAAACCAAAATGCAGGCTACTTTAAAATAAATCTAATCTGCACTCCTAGTTAATGCTCATTAACTTCTTTTTACTTCCTTCCTATTTTTAACAATAAGAAGAAAAGAGGAGGAGAAGGCAGGAGGGAGCTATGACTTCTGCAGCCACTTCAAACTGATAGAAGCTAGCACTGCCAAATGGTTTTCCCCTTGCAGGCTCTTTTTATGCCAACACAAGCATTTGTGCAACAACTGCTGCAGGTTAAAAAAAAATACTTATTTTTTTGCAAGTTTGCTATCAACTCAGATCAATTCTCCTGTCTAGCTCCACTGTGCAGCTGTTTTGAGTGCTTATGCCAGCACAAAAGAAGCAGTGACAGGAAGATGGGTCTGCTTCTTTCAGTATCAGTGCCAGCTTAAAATGACCACAAAACTGCAGTCTAAGTATGCAGCATAAATGTCAATTATCTATAGAAATAAAACTGTCCCTTCCACCATGTGTATCATATAACAGATCTAGGTATCAGCACAGCACATGTCACTTTAGGAAGGGATTTTTACTACTTCAGCAGTAGGAGTCCCTTTTGCCACTGTAATATACTTGAGAGAGAAAGTTGTTCAAGACAGCTTTATCCAGGCAGCCCTATTACAAATTAACATAAAGCGAGTCATGGTAGAGGCCTACTGTTGCACTGTTCTCCTGAAGAATATGTACTAATATAAAAGGATTTTTTTAAACAGATTTCACTGTTAGTTGAAATAGTTCACTACCTGATTTTAAACTAGTTCCAATCTTACTAGTACCACATAATGCTTAAGCTTGCCATCAGAGCAGGAGTAAAAACTTATTCTTTGCTAAGAGTCAACTTAATTTGTCAAAATATTTTTATGTGACTGTTATGTTAGAAAAATCTCCGCAGGCTTAAGGGAACCAAGTATGTCCCACTTTAACTGTAAGAAGCCTGGAGTGTTACAAAACTGATGTGCAGGATTCTGGGACATTCCTTTCAGTGACCAATATCAGGTTTATCAGTCCCTGCAAAAGCAGCAAGAACTAGCAAGAACACAGTACTGTTGACCTTTAGCACCTTGCATAGGTTTTCAGAGTGTAAGGACTTGTCTGTGTGGGAAGGACAATTTAGATTAGATGTAAATTAAAAGTAGAGTATTTGATCTAAATTAATTCACATGCAGGAAATAAGAAGTAGCTATTTCAGGTTAACTCCATGTTTAAACAACCCTAGGAAGACTTTAAGTGGGAGGGAGAGGAGAAGGTCTTTTCCAGCTGTGTGAGGTATTTCGTGGCAGAGGGACAGAGCCATCACTTTCACCACTGTATACTTTGCTATGTGAATTATAGGCCAAATTCTGCCATTACAAGCACTGAAGCAATGTGCCCTCATGTTAGTCACTTCAGGTTCGCACTGCTCTAATGATCATGATGCATGGTCAGCAGAAGTCACCTGTATAACTGTAGTGGAAGGCATGGGAGGTTACAAAAATGAGAGGTTTTCGTTGGCCCCATCACAGGTCAAAACACCACAGCTGTTTGCCAGTTCTCCCTGATGGAGGTTACTGTCCTCCCAGCTCTGCAGGTTGGAGGATCATGCTTAATTCCTTTCAGGCAAAGTCAGGCAGGTTATCTTAAATCACTTTCTTTTGCTATTTGAACTGAACCAAGTGACTTGATCTGAAACAGATTAGAAATTACTCATGTGACTTCCTCATTCCCCTTCTATCAAGGGAGATGATTCTGTCAAGAGTGGTACCTGCAGTTGTTTTCAGCTGGTGATGGCAATGTGTTGAATATTCATTACTGCTTACCAAAAGAAGGGGTCTGTGCATGACCTTCCAAACCATGTCCTTGAATCAGCCTTTAGAAGAGCCATTGAAAACTGTTAATTTGCACCATGAGAAAAATAACAGCAAATGAGAAATAATTAAATTTTGTGGCTGAGTAGTTTATTTTCTTTTCATCCATGCTGCACTGATAAAGATTTAGAAAGCAGTAAGACACAGTGGTACGGGGCAGGGAACCCACATTTACAATAATGATCACTGCTGTCTGTGTACTTTACAGTACAAATGATCTGTGCGTTTTACTGTATGCTTTACATTGGTCTGAATATTTTCCTTCAGAAACCATGCCCTCTATGTGATGAAGCAAAAGAAGTCCTTGAGCCATATAAGAGAAGGGTAATGTATTGCAATATTGTATACATTTTATATATAGAAAGAAGAGTTAATCAGGATTCTTTCTTTGTAAAAGAAAATTGCTGGGATTTATTTGCATCCGTTATTCTTTCATGGGTGACCTCTTCAAAACAATTTCAGCACTGATTTCCATAAAAGTCATTATCCAAAAGCATTTTGCAACAATACTGCTCAAATAAGTATTGGCAAACTAAACCAATGTACACCTTGTCGCAATAGTTTTTAAAACCACCACTTTTGTAAATACTACTGCCTTGTCTAACAGAGGAGTTTGCAACTTTTATGAGGCAGGTAATGGTATCATTTGGGAAGGATTAGTAAGTGGGGCTTCAAATATTTGAACTATATGTGATGGCAATGTTTGCTGTTCTTCAACCAGGTGTCGATCTCTTTCTTGAAGGAAGAAATGTAACAGAAACATTAAGAGGTGTTGCACTCTGCTGCCTAACGGGCAGCTGTTGTGTTGCCAGCTGCATATTTGTTGTGGTTGGTGCTCACAGGAGAGTGGTTCTGCAGAGGATGAAACATATCATGCTGGAGTAGAGAGAGTCCTTTGTGGACACACAGCCAGGGATTGTGACTACATACATTTGGTACCCACAAAATGGGCAGTTGTCTACAACATGGAATAATAAATCCAAAAGCACCAAGAAAATAGCCCTGCATTTCTGGAAAAAAAATATTGATCAAAAGACAAGCAGGTATTGTTTTTCATTGCCCACTAGTTACTAAGATATTTCTTTTCTGTCAGTTTATTTTGCAGGAGGTGGATATTACCCTTCCAGAGAACTCGGTGTGGTATGATAAATACAAATATGACATACCTGTTTTCCATTTAAATGGGAAGTTCCTAATGAAGCATCAGGTAGACATTCAAAAGTTTGAGGATGAGCTTATGAAGCTCGAGTTGCAAAATGATGGAAACCAGTGAAGAAAATGCAGCTGCTCTGGTATAGATCTGAAAGGACTGTTCAACATAAATTGTGTGAAAAAGCAGTATTTGTTGTCTGGCCTTACATTTCTTGGCACATATGGTACCAGCGTCCTAAAAAACTTGAGCGACTTGTATTCTATTTTGTATTAATCATCCAGCCCAGCTGCACCAGTAGCAACCTTTTCTGTACCATTCATTTGCTGCTGTCCTAGGCTGGCTTTCATTTACACAATAAATGCTGCTCCATAACAGCAGATAAAGTGAAATGTATTTATATTGGGTTTGCATGGTGAGGTTTTGGTAGCGGAGGGGCTACAGGGGTGGCTTCTGTGAGAAGATGGTAGAAGCTTCCCCATGCCTGATAGAGCCAATGCCACCTGCCTCCAGGATGGACCCATTTCTGGCCAAAGCTGAGCCAATTAGCGATGGTGGTAATACCTCTGTGATAGCATATTTCAGAAAGGAAGGAAAAAAAAAAAAAGGGTAATTGCAGCCGGAGAGAGGAGTGAGAATATGTGAGAGAAACAGCTCTCTTTAATGACACCAAGGTTAGTAAAGAAGGAGGGGAGGAGGTGCTCCAGATGTCGGAGCAGAGATTCCCCTGCATCCCATGGTGAAGACCATGGTGAGGCAGGCTGTCACCCTGCAACCCACAGAGGTTAACGGTGGAGTTGATAGCCACCTGCAGCTCATGGAGCACCCCGTGCCAGAGCAGGTGGATGTGCCCGAAGGAGGCTGTGACCCCATGGGAAGTCTGCACTGGAGCAAGCTCCTGGCAGGACCTGTGGCCCCATGGAAATAGGAGCCCGTGCTGGAGCATGTTTGCTAGCAGGACTTGTGACCCTGTAGGGGACCCATGCTGTACCAGTCTGTTCCTGAAGGACTGCATCCTGTGGAAAGGACCCATGCTGGAGAAGTTCATGGAGAACTGCAGCTCATGGGAAGGACTTGTGTTGGAGAAGTTTGTGGAGGACTGTCTCCCATGGGAGGGACCCCGCTCTGGAGCAGGAGGAGAGTGCGAGGAGTCCTCACCCCGAGGAAGAAGGAGCTGTGGAGACAACATGTGATGAATTGACCGCAACCCCCATTCCCCATCCCCCAGGTACCACTCGGGGGGGGAGTAGGTAGAGAAAATTGGGAGTAAAGGTAAGCCCAGGAAGAAGGAAGGGGTGGGGGAAAGGTGGTTTTAAGATTTGGTTTTATTTCTCATTGTCCTACTCTGATTTGATTGGTAATAAATTCAGCTAATTTCCCTAGGTCGAGTCTGTTTTGCTCATGAGTGTAATTGGTGAGTGATCTCTCCCTGTCCTTATCTCGACCCACAAGCCTTTTTGTTATATCTTCTCTCCCCTGTCCAGTTGAGGAAAGGAGTGGTAGAGCGGCTTTGGTGGGCACCTGGCATCCAGCCAGCATAAACCCACCACAGTGTCCTAAGATTGTTAGTATGTGTAAGCTGTAGGTCTGTAAGAGGCTTCCTTGAAGAAGACTAGCAGTCTATCTTAAGTGCTCATTTGAAATGGAGAAGAGGGCATTTACCGTAAATGAAAAGGAGACTTGATTAAAGACAGCACACTCACTGAAGCGGAGACATATCTATAGAACAATTATCACAATTTGATACAGGTGTTACTAACACACGAACACTGAATAGTTTTTTTCTTTTAATGGATGAACATACATTGCGCTAAAGTCTATTTTATCTACTACAGCAAGCTTTGAGCTCCTTAGTACTTGAGTTACTCCAGACACAAGAAAAAAATCAAAATAGAGTGAACTAAAATTGAGCCAAAAGAATGAAATCTGTGATGAAAACAGCATTTATCAACTCCAAATGTGTCTGTCTGAATGCTACTGATTTCAGAGCGTAAAATGCAAGTAAGAAACTCCAAGAGTGTCATTAAAAATTTGCTGGCCTAAGATATGGGACTTCTTCCTTAGACTCCAGTCATGCTCTTAAAAAAATGGATGCTAATATATGGTCTTTTTACCTGCTTAAGGGTGCTTGTGGCATGATTCTCCATCATTACAAATCCAGTAAACAGAGAAAACATGTTTTTCTGACGTTATGGGAACAGTGCTCGGTCTTATGGACTAGGGTTCAGTGGTAATTGAGTCCAGTCATTATGCTTTCTGACAGAAAGGAATCACATTTCAGTTCTGTCTGCAACACGACTACAAATCCATTTATCATGTGGCAAGAATACCATTTTATCAAGGGTTACTGCAGTTCTGTTAGTGTATCGTTGGCAATGTAGGGAAGTGAGGTAGACAGACAGAATGCCAAAGTTAAAGATATTTTCAGGAGGAGGAAAAGATAGATTAAGGAAAAGTCAGCTGTTTTAAGTTGAATAGTCTATAGTAAGCACTGGAGAAAATTGTTGGTATTTTTTTGATCTACTTAGTAGATCCTTTAACACAGACAATAATCCCTGTACCATGGTGGTGTTCGGTCTTCTCTCATCACTGGAATTTAAATAGGGACACTTGACAGATGTGTCTTCATAGGGTGAAGAATACAGACACAATACCTAGTCAGAAGAGCAAACTGAAATTCAGCATTCATTGGGGACTTCAGCTTTTGGAGTATGGTTAAATAAGAAGCCAGCTGATCTGCTATGGTGAAAGTGGGCAGTTCCTATATGGCCCCATCTTACAGTGTCTTTAGCATTTGACAGATCATTTCAACTCAATTCTGATGTGCTCTGGGAGATGAAAAATTTCTGGGCAGTGGGGGGTGAGAAATTAAAACTTTCTTCCAGTTCAGCAACTTGAGTCCACTCAGGAAGGGGTCTGAAATTATCCAAGAGTTCCCAGGAGGGAGAGCTGTCCCCTTTTTATAGCTTTAGGTAAGTTCAGCCACATCACCTAACTGTACCCTGCAATTTATAGGACTTCAGAAACTTCCATTTCATAGCACTTTACCCTCCTTAAGAGGTCTGCAGAAAGAGAGTGGCATCAAACAGGATGGATTTACTAGATTTGCAAGAAGTAAAGAGATGCTTAGAAGTTTAAGCATGTCCTTAAAACTGTTTAAAGCTTTTCATCAGCAATTCTGTAACCGTTTGATCCAAAACTTAAATTACAGAAGTTACAGCCAACTGTTGCTTGTAAGGGAAACGCTTATCCTGACTAAATAACTGGGGGGGTTTTTTGTAGCCTTACTTTACCTTTGGAGACTGCTGGTTTACCCTGATGTGGTCATTTACATTGTAGAGGAAGAGAAAGTTGAGAAGATTGTTTAAAAAAAAAACCCAACAACAACAAAAAAACAACCCCCCTAAAAAAAAAAAAAACAAGCTGAAACTTCTCAGGAGTTAAGTGACTGAAGTTGAGTAACCAGGCAAAGCGTTAAGTTGGATTTCCCCAACATGAGAAAAAAAAAAAAAAAGAAATAAAAAGAAAAACTTGAAATAGCAAGATGCTTCTTGAATTGTATGCTGCAGCATAGCTTTGCCCTATCCACATTTCTTTTCATCACCATTGACAGAACAGGACCCTAGAGACAAAAACTATACTTTCTGCAGTTCATAATGCTACAGGCAAACTTCTAAGTGTTCCACAAGTTACTGTTAAATAATAGGTTTGAATTACCTCTGTATCAGCAAGCAAACGCCATTTGCTTTCCTTCTATAATCTGAGATGGTTTCAGAGGGTCCAGGTTTTTCCTTACTGGTGTTTTGTAATAAGAGAACTGGTGTAGAGCACTTTTCAACCATAGTTCAAGCGCTTTTCTAAAATATAGCCTTGTTATCTCAAAGATACGGAGGACAGAGGTCATGTGGACTTGCCCTATTTCCCAATATACATCACTAGCAGAGGTTGGAATAGCCATCAGAGAGCAATTTGCCTTTGTTTTATTTTTAATAAGGTCTGTTTGGGGAAGAAAAAGAAAAAGGAAGCTAAAAGCAAACTTCTTAATCATATAGGAGATGATGAATCCCTTGTTCCTTATTCATTCAGACTATGGAGATTTTCTTGAGTAGCCAGTACCCCCTTTATTTTTTAAAGTGAATGATAATAGGATTTTTAGAATAGCTTTTGTCTCTGACATAGCCTTTATTAGTGAGATGGAGGTTTTCCATTAGTTCTGGCTGTGGGTGCTAGCATATAACGTACAGAGAAGGGGTGGCTACTTCTTCCAACTCTTCTAGTGTACAATCAAACACAACTCTGCATTTTGTATGCCTCAATCCTGTTTTCCTTATCAACACAAGCAGCAGATTCAGGTGTGTTAGAAAGGTTGTTGTAGACCCATGTGCAAGCAACAGGCATGGACTCCAGGGTGAATGTTCTATGGTATGGAAAGATCACTGTCAGCCACTCTTCTCCAAACACAGCCCTGTCCTTCCGAAGCCAAAACATGAGATATACTGCCAAAACCTTCCAACGGTATCTGAGAAGATGTTACCGTTCTACTGTTTTAAGGGAGTGGAAGCCCTAGTCTCATCAGTTTGGACACAAAGATAGGAGGTGAAAATATGTCAATATGCAGCATTGGCGGCACAACTCAAAGAAAGAGCTGTGGTATAATTGTTTCCAGGTAAAGGCACCACAGGACAAGGTGATGAGCAAGAGGCTGGTTCATTTGCATCAAAGGTTCTACTGCAAAATTAGGTTGCATCAAGATTGCTCAAGATCTTAATCCCTTCCCTGTTACCTTCTCTGAGGAATACAAAGTACTGAAGTAAAAGCTCTAGGAGACCATCACCTCTTCCGAAGCCAGCAGCTCTGCTCAGTGGAATAAGGTGGCATTCAATTATTATCTTCACATGTGAATACTAAGAGTTCACATCTTCTAAGTATTAGATCAGATAGAGAAGTGTTTCAGCATTCCATTTCCCTGCCATTATCAGTCCTAAAAATAGTCATGTGAACTTGTGATCCCATAGGCAAAATAATTTACTAACCTCAATGGGACCAGAATTTTATCTCAAATTGTGAGCTACTTTCCATTTCCTTTGACATGTGGGGAGACTGAACAAGTACTTGTGTGACAT